TTTCTTTTAGTCATATATGAAAATCACACGTTTCTAACTTTTTTTTATATAACAAAATAATTACTCATTATATCTAAAAATAATTTATTTAATTAACAAATTTAGTTACTTTTTTATGTTAAAAAATTTGTGTGGTTATTATAAATAAAGACAAAAATATTATCGGAAATTCAAATTTATAAAATTTATAATAATTGAATTATATTAGTTAATATTTTATATTTAATTTTGAAAAATAATTATCCAAAAATAAGTTTTATTATTATATTATCAAAGACTAAAAAATCATGAGGTCAAACTTCATAACGTCCAAGGAAGGGAAAAGTACGGAGAAAGACGGTTCCGTTATGTAACGGCGTCAAAAAATGAAGCCCCCTCAAAAAAGTTAAAATACAAAAAAAGGCGCTGTTAAAACTGAAAAAACTGCCCTATAAATAACCACCAGCTCAACACTTAAAGCAGTTGTTTTTCTTTTTTTTTTTTTTTCTTCTCTCAAAGAAATCTCATCAGCCAAACAAAACCCAAAATTGAAAATCATTTTCGTTTGTTTTTTCAAATACAGAACATCCAAAAGAGAGAGAGGAGAGAGAGGGGTATTTACGTTGTTGTTTTTTAGAGAGAAAAGAGGGGAGGAGGAGGAAGAAGGTGTTGTTCGAGATCTTGCCAGATCGGGCTTAGACCTGTAAAAAATCTATTTCGTATTTGGCTCTTTAAAAGCTCCTGTTTTTTTTTTTTGTTTGGTTCTCGATGATGTTTGGATAAAATGAAATGCGGGTTCGATCTGCAGAAACCAGTGTTGGTTATTTTTTTTGGCAGTCTCTAGCTAATGTTTTTGCTTTATGGTTTGTTGATTTTATCTTTCTCTTTCTTGTTTTAATGAAAATGGTAGCTCTTAAATGATTTCCTTATTTTCTATTTGCTTTGATCTGAAGAAAAGGGTTTTATTAAGCTATGTTTTTGCTTATCTTCTCTGTTTTTCCATCTGGGTTTTTGTTTTTTAACTATGGGTTTTTGGATTTGGTGATGTTAATGTTTAGTCCATCAGGAAAATTTGTTGCTTTGTGTTTCAAATTTTTTTTCCTTCTATTTAATCCCAGATTTTTAGTTATTTTTTTTGCGTTTTTCATCTTCCCTTTTGAGTGTTGGTGGGGAGCTTTTGGTTTTTAAGTGCTCAAAGCAGCACAATTGAAGGAGTGATTTCTACCATTTTTCTCCCTTTCTTATTTCAGGTTCCTTATTTGTTGCTCTAAAGTTTGTTTTTTTATTTTCCAAAATAATTTTGGACATCCTGAAAATGGAGACTTCAGTTTCTTTTTTTTTGTCTTGGCTCTATATATTCGGATAGTTTCTTCTTCTGGGTTCTGTCTTTTAATAAACAAAGATACTTTTATTTTCTTCTTAAACATATCTTTTCTTTTAGATGTTAATAGCGGTTGAGTCCTTAGTTTGTTATGTCCTCTTCTTGCTTCCAATTAAATCTTCCGAGAAAATTCACCAACTCCAGAGGAAAATCTTCTCTGAATTATGCTTTATGAACCCTTTTTACCTTTTCTGTATTCCAATTTTGAAACATTGAACAAAAAGTGGGTCAAAAAAGAAAAGGATTCATTAAGGAAATTAGACATGTTGCTTTATATATTTGTGGTGATTTTTGAAAAACTTTGACAGTAAGAAGATACAAATTTATCATCTTAGATTAACGGTTAAGTGCACAAGTTTTCAAACCATTATTGCCAGAAGGAGGATTTGAAATTGAAGGTGATATCTATAGAGGATTTTTCCTGATCTACATCCTGATATGGGCGGTCTAGATGTTCTTATTTCCTAATACTGATTTCAGATTTAAGTTTGCTCACTGTCTTGGTTTGTTTGGGTTACAAATCATTTTCCTTAGTAATAATTTAATGTTAAATTTATTATAAACTAATAATAGTTATCATTATTACATTTATACCTTTCCAACTTGAGTATGCTTTCTAGTTGCTGTTCCTTTGTGTCTTTGTATACCTCTTGTTAAATATTCTATGCTTTTATTGTGAAGGAATGGAGGTGCTCTGTTTCTTAATTAATAGTTCAAAATAAAAGCACGATATGGCCTGGTATCAAGCAAGAGTTATTCTGAGTTTGTAGTGTATTTGCTGTTAAAAATTTTGCATGTTTGGCAGGTGTTACCTAGTTAGTTTGATTTTCTATTGCCTGCCTTGCAGATTAATGGGCAGGGAACTTACTGACGTACAGATGGACAAGAAACCAAATGGTACCATGTTGAATGCAAAGGGTGTATCGAAAGATAGAGGTCAGGTTGCTCCGAAATTTGCACAAAACAGCATTGAAGCAAAGATCTATGAGTTTGAATGTGCTGGAAAGAATTCTGCTATTGAGAATGGTCATGAAAAGCAAGATACGGTTCTGGTCAAAAGTACAAGTGTTGATAATAAACTTCCTGATGGAAAGACATCAATCTCACCTTCATCCAAGTCTGCTAATAATATACATGTGAGTCCTACTGTTACTAAGGCCAATATTGGGATTGAAGCTGCTGCAGTGTCTCCCAATTCTTCAGCAAATGCTAACTCTTCAAACTCTCCTACAAAAAGTTCACAGGTAAATGAAATCTAATGATGTTTGTGGTGTTCATGAGTTCCTGCTAATTGTTCTTTGAGTAAGGATGATAATTTCTGACTCAAATGTCCAGAATTGAAACCTTGATATGATTTTAGGCCAGTCTGCTCTCATATTGGTTATAAACTATGAGTAGGCTTTAGTTGAAAAAGGACTTTAGCACTTAGACAGGTGTTAGTACTTCCTAGTTGTATTCGTATTTCTGTCTGCAGTCTGAATACTTTTTAGAAAATCTCTAGTTGTGACATTTCTTTGTGGCTAAGGTTGATAATTATTTCTGTGCCTTTGTGAATTCTTATCTTTGGTTTCGTGAATACTGACAACTATCTCATCCTCACTTCTAAGTTGGAAGAGATTTATGACAGCTGAATTATCATTTTCTAAAGGTTTAATTTTACTGAAGCTAGATACCATTATAGGCTATATTTGGAATCATTGTTTAAACCTGGACCTGATCTTTGAAGTGTTTTTCTAACTTTTGTAGCCAAATTCTCCTCTCACAGCAAGGAAGATGTCACAAGCTGATAGCAAGAAGCTTCTTGATGAAGATGATAATTGGTCCCTCGCTTCTTCGTATCCTCTGCTGGATGTTAGTTCATGCTCGAGTGCCTTTTAAGCGTTTTCTTGGTTAACTTTTTCTTTTGAAAAAAAAAAGTGGGATATCTCTACATATTCGTGCACGTACATAAAACATGTTCATGCAGGCGCACACAGATAAATATCTGGAGAAGTTTGTTTTTATCATTATAATTTATTATACCTTAACCATGCATAGTACTGCGACATCTATAAGAACTGCTAAATCCAGAGTAACTATTGGAACATCTCCAACATTTAGAAGTGCTGAACGTGCTGAGAAACGAAGGGAGGTACTGTTTGTATAAGTTAAACTTTGAAGCATTTTCTCTTTTCCACAGTTTTGCACTCGGAAATTTGTTTGCCATGCTATTTTCTAATTATCTTCACAATCTCTTCCATCTAGTTTTACCAAAAGTTAGGAGAAAAACACCAAGCTCTTGAGGCAGAGAGAAGCCAATGTGAACAAAGGCATAGGGTATGTTATTTTTCGTCCCTTCTTGTATATGTTCTGTGTTTCTACCTATGTGCTCCACCATGTGGTGTTTTTTGAAATAATTATCCTGAAAACCACTCTGACATTTACTTTAGGAAGAGCAAGAAGCAGCCATAAAGCAACTTAGAAAGACCATGGTGTTCAGAGCTAATCCAGTACCTAGTTTCTACTATGAGGGGCCTCCGCCAAAGACTGAACTGAAAAAGGTATTTTACATATATTTTTTTCCCCGCCCTTTTTCCATTAGTTCCTACTTTGGATGAGATTGGCAACAAATTTCTTTGACATGTGAGAAAAGATGGATAAGTGTAGCTTTAGATTTGAGAAGTTGAGCAGATCCATAAATTTGGTTTTGTTTCAAGTTTAATGCAATATGTTTTCTCTAAATCATCCTATTCACAAGTTACAACATCCTGAAGGGCTTCTGATGCCAGCCTACCTCCATTTTGTCCTGTTAACAGAGCATAGCTTAAGTCTTCCCATTCACAATTTAGAACTGATAGATACAAATGTTAATTGGAAACTTGTTTCTCGGATAGCATGTGAATATACAAGACTGCAACAAACATTGCATTTCATTTTTACCCACAGCTCCTACGACATGATAAGAGTATTCATTAACGATTTTATCTGATGCTAGCTGCCATTGACTCGGCCTGTCTCGCCAAAGCTTAACCGGAGGAAGAGCTGCAGTGATGTAACTAACTCAACTCAAAATGACAAGGGAAAATATTGTCCTCGAGCACAGCGCTATAGTGCTGGCAATCACAAGGAAGAATCTGCGACAGCCAACACCTATAAAACTAAGAGCCCAACCAGTGCACAGAAGGTCAAAGACCAAGCAAAACCAGTAAAGGAGATGATGAAAACAGTTCCAGAAAAGATCACAGAGCAAACAAATGCTGACATCGATGTTGAATCTTGAACTCATTTTTATTTTCATTTTTCTAACTCTGGGTGGAGAAAAGATTATTGAATTTCCATGACTACCAGATGGATGTTCTGAAGGTTGGCAGGCCTGCTTCTTCTTTTTCAGCCGCAATGACTAGTTTTAAGCTGTTTTATGTTATCGTGAATTGTATATCTTTTGTAAGTTGTATGGGTACATAAATCATGTTATATATAAAGAAGAGTTATTAAATCTAGAATGGACACATTGTGTTGCGATCATCTGAAGCCTGGATCATCAAGTACCATCCCTAATAAGGAGAAGTGAGGCTGGGCGAGCTTCCAAATTTCAAATCATTTATTCAGTTAAAGGTAACTCCTGTAAAAGACATGGATCTAGATTTCCCATAGAAAAAAATTGAAAAGTGGAAACGAAGACGGGCTTAGATGATTATAATTTTCTTGTTCGCTCTCGTGCTCATTGGATCATTGAATACTATATCAGGCTCAGACATCTTGCAGTTGCAGAATTGTGATTCAGTAACAAGACATGTTCCTCCATGTATCTTCTAGCTCTGATTCTCTCCTTGTTGAATGAACACCTTCAACAAAAGCTGCAGAATTGTTTTCCATAAAAAAAAGCAGAATTTTCTCCTTTTACAAAAGCTCCCCCAACTTCCTGCAAAGGAAAGGAGATCTTCATAATCAAATGCTGCCAGAAGAGCCATATAGAACTCAATTACACTCAATATGTAATATATATATATATATATATAAGAGGACATGGCACCAGTAGTTTAAATCAGAAAAACATGAAAGGGAACAATTTCAAATCAGTCAAATTTCGTCTCATTTGGTTAAATAAGAATCATGTTTACTTACATTACATCTGAATAGGACAATAATATTAATTTCAAAACCAACAAACTAATATAAAAAACGCAAACCATAAAGTTTAAAAGAGAACTCATATCAACACGTGCATGGTGTGCAAGAGACATGCCGCTTATGGCTGTCGATCCTAAACTTGAACCAAGTAGCCAATCATCGCATGTACCAGCCCATCCATGAGGATCAAAGATGCAAGGAATACGAGGAGTGTTAGTTGGAAGAGCTGCACTCCTACACAGCCAAGAGAAGGAGACATAACTACTATAGATTGCAAGTTTGAGAAGTTTCTCAAAATTTTGGATGAACCAGAATATTCCTTCAGAAACATAACTTCTTGTATTGGAATTACACATAAGAGGCACTAGTTGCTCTAAGTGATTTAAAGAAAAGACCACAGGGGTTTTAACAGTGCTGAAAAGAAGAGAAAGATACAAATTAAAAAAGTAATCTAGGATTCTACACAAGTGAAAAGGGATGCCAGATAGCATTCTTTCAACCTAGTATCTAAATAACGATGATTGCCACCTTGTGCCGCTAAAATTAGTCCTATGAACACCGCCAACTTGACCAGCCGCATGAGCAACCTGATTACCACCTTGTTCCGCCAATGCTTGTGGGTGTGGATTTTAAAAGACAAATCAATGTATTTAATTTTGGAAAAAGATAATTTACTTAATCAATTTGAGTAGAAAGTTGTGGTGCTTGATGTTCCCTGCGCTCAAGCTAAGCAACACTTGAGTAGATAAGCTCCTAGAGGCTTAATAAAGGAAACCTTTAAAGCTTGCAGAAGGCAAAGAAAATCTTCATTCTTTTGCAGATATTATCTAAATAACGAAGGGATAAAAAGTTCAGGGTTCAAGCTTGAACGAATTCAATTAGTGATCCATGCAGTTTGACATTTACTGCAGATAAAAACATGTAGATGCAAAAACCAACTACCCTCACCTCCAACTCCCACCCCATTCCCAATGGAGAAAAAAGAACAACTCCAGAAATGCTTCTACAGAACTGTCCTGTGGAACCTTGTTCTGCTTCCCATAAGCTGCAGTACTGAAGAAAGTCCAGCAATGTGGACCATCATGCCGAGAATTCATAAGTTTCACTGAGTTACTTCCCATGCAAGACAAGAATTATTTTCCATAAAAAATGCGTAATTTACTACTTTTACAAAAGCTCCCTCAAATGCCTGCAAATCAAATGAGATCTTCATAGTCGAATGCTGCCGGAAGAGCCCATATACAACTCAACTACACTCTATATAATATATGTGTGTATATGGATAAGAGGACATGGCACCAGTAGTATAAATTTGAGCAGAATCACCACCATCAGCCGCAAGCGCAGAAAAAATGCCGGCACGTGCACAATAAGCTATAAGCTATAAGAAGTGAGCTTTTTTAATTATCATCAAAAGCATGTCACCATATTCAAGGATAAGCTACAAGAAGTGAGCTTTCAAAATCCAAGAACGCAAAACATTGAAGTAGGAAACCAAATTAACTGCATACCATATTCCAGTCAAGATTCCATGCGTTCCATAAGGGACTTCTCAGCTCCAACTCTTAAAACTTTCTCACCCATAAATATAGTCCATAAAGGAAAATACAGAAGCAAGAAACACAAAAAGGAACAATTTCAAATCAGTCAAATTTCATCTCATTTCATTGAATAAGAACAATGTTCACTTACATTACAAATCAATTCCAAAATAAAAAAAGTAATACAGGATTTCACTTTTTTGAATAAACATCAGTATACAGCATTGTTCTGAGCTAATTACTGCAGCAAAGCTTGTTCTCTAAGTCCAGCCTTTTCTTTTATTTGACTGATCTCAAATTTGATTTGATTGTTGGCTAACTCTTCACTTTTCACGTTAAGGAGATCAGCAGGCTTGATTTCTCCACAAACAACTCTTCTCCTCAAATCTGGATTCTTTGGATCCCTGAGGTTGAACAGAATGGACCTATACTTGAGCTTTTGATTCCCAACGCAAGGACCCAGCTTTCTGAACATCTCATACTCCACCTCTGCAGCAACCTTGATGTAATCACGTATAGATACATGCACTTTCTCCCCAATCTCAGATGCTACCTTAGACAGGGCCTCTTCAAGCATGGTTCTTATTTTCCCTCTGGATGCATCTTTCACATTTTGAGAGGCAGGTCGGTGAGGAGTTTCCAGTGGAATCTTCAGGCAAATGGTAGTCCCTTTGGTTGAAGAATCATCAGAGTGTTCTGTCTTCAGAGATGAGCGTTGAGGAGGAGCTCCGGATGACAACTTTGAGACAGTCTTAGAGGAGGGTTCGGCAGGAACTTTCGGCAGCAGCTTGATCCGAATGATATGACGATGCGTTGAACATGAGTTTCTTGGAGCAGGACAAGAATCTTTCGTGAGTATCCTCTTCTTCCAGACGTCGATAACTCGAGAAGCCGCAGAACATATCTTTCGTCTCTTGTGCTTACTCAGATATTCAAGCTTCTTGAAGATGTTATGAGTATCGATAAGTTGTATGTTGAAAGGACAACTCTCCAACTGCTTAAAACAATCTACACATCTGGATATCTCACATGAACCCTTAAGAATGCCCTTAATGTTTGCACGATCCGCTGCTTTCTTCGCGTCTGCAAGAACCTCCACCGTCTGGTTCATCCTTGAAACTTGTATTCCACGTAACAAATAACACTAAACTGGAAGGCTTGCTTTTCACGGAGAACACTCGGTGTAAATCTCTCTCTTCGTCTTACAACAGAAGCAAGGAAAGGAAATAGAGCAATGGGAGAGCAAGAAACAGAGAGACTCTCTTCTTGAAAGAAGCACAGAAACTATGGAGTATATCTTCTGAAATAGAGACCATTTTCAGTTTTATATATATATATATATATATATGTATGTATATGTATGATGTATTCATAGGAGAAGAACCTACGTTTGATTCGTAGAGGTAACTAAAATTTTGAACCGAATTACCCATTCTGCCCTCAGTTACTGTTAATTGGATTTGGGTTGCAATGTCGGATCGGGTTTAATTCTCCGTGGGCTACGTTGAGTCATGAGAAATGGGCCGACAAGCACAGGCCCATTTATTAATGCAATATTGGAAAAGAGAAGAGGATGTATATATATATATATATATATTACTAAAATATATATAGTTTTTTATAATTTAAATCTTAAAAATTTTAAAATATATATTTTGTTGAATTATTATTTGTATAATTAACAATATTTTAAAATATAATATATTATAATTATATATATTTTTTTAATTGATAAAATCAAAATTATTTTTAAATAAGATGATCCAATCTCTTTCCCTCTCCCTCCAAAAGAAACCATGGCCACATCCGTCATCTCTGTTTCTTCTTCCTTTCTCCAGTCTCTGAAACTCAAAACCCCAGCAAAACCCTCAAAATCATGTTTCTCCAATTCCGCTGTGACTGTTAGGTGCACTTCTCAAACAAGCCTCAGTTCAGTTCCCGGCAAAAAACTCACCTCCAACCCTCAAAAACCCGCCTCCACAAGCCGCCGGAGATCACGCTATGGCACCTCTAGGAGATCGATTCTCAAGAAAACATTCACTCAAGAACAGGTTACCTTTGCCGCACCGGTTTCTCCTGACCCTCATGTGGGGATTATTGGTGGAGGAATGGCTGGTCTTGTCTGCGCCTTGAACTTGGAGAAGCGAGGGGTTCGATCCACGGTTTTCGATACGGTTCGTCAGTTTTTTCATTTTTAGAGGTTTTCTTCAATGTGGGTTTATTGAAGAATGATGTTGGTTTTTCGTGTGTTGGGTGTTTAACTTTTAAAATGCACTGGTTAAGAGTGTAGAATTTGAAGGTACAGTTCGATCAACAAGGTAGTGCTTTTCTGTGCAGTTGTGAGATTTCACTATTTAGGAACTTTCTTGAGCTGACATGAAGTTAGAAAGCTTCATGGTTTATGGCAAAATGATGACGATTATTAGCATGATCATATTTGAGATAGTGAAGTTTGTTGAGTTTCATTCAATTTTAACGCTTGTATTTTAGTTAAAATGATATGTTTCCAGTCATCTATAACAATTTCTTTATTTGAAGTTTGTAAACTATCTGTTAAGCACTTCAATTTCCATGAAACTAATCTTTGGACTATGCAGTTTCAGTGTCTTGCGTTGGTTATTTTGTTTCTCATTACATTCTTGATTGTTGTTAGTTATATTTATCAACCTGACCCGTTTCTCCAAAACAAGAAGAATCCATTAGTATATAAATTTCACTCATATTAAAGGTGCTGATTGTATTTAGAGCATTTTTATTGTGTTTCAACTTTGGTGCTCAAGAGGGTTCTTTCAGCAGTTACTATAATGTTCTTTTTAGTCTTATTCTTTTGTTTCAACTCTTTCCTTTTGCAGTTCATATTTTCTCTAAAGTGGGAAGAAGAGAAAATTTCTTTTGAAACTGTGGCAAAAAGAATTTGATTACTAAAGTAATTTATTCAATTGCTTTCTTCTTCGTACTTTTGGATTCAAAAAGTGGCTGAAGAAAAGAGAGAAATAGAAGAGAAACTGGAAGGATCTTCAAAATTTTCCCTGTAGAGTATTGGAACACGTGAAATGGTTTCTCTTATTGATCGGCTTAGGATCTACATGACTATTTAATTCATTGTGGTGGTGGACTTCTGTAATACTCTGTTAAGCAAGGATGAGTTATCTTGGTGGGGAAGAATTAATTGTTATGATCTTTAGAAATTTAAATCATTTGGATCAAACTTTCTGCACTGGAGCAAGGCAATGGATGATTGATGAGGTTTTTGGTTGTGTTTTACTGATTCTAGGGGATGCATGGACTAGGGGGAAGAATGGCCACTAGGGTAATTGATCCTCAACCATTGATATTTGATCATGCAGCTCAGTTCTTCACTGTGAGTGACTCTCGGTTTGCTGAATTGGTAGATGGTTGGTTGGAGAGAGGTCTAGTTCGAGAATGGCCTGGTATAGTTGGAGAACTTGAGGTGGGTGGTCGATTTACTCCATTTCCATTTGCCGCACCCAGATATGTAGCTGTTAATGGGATGCGCCCTTTTGCTGACTCCTTGTTATCAGAGGTGATTAAGCTTTGTTTTGATGATTTTTGTCTTTAGCATGCTTTTCTGAAGCAAGAGAAACTCAGATGTTTTGTATTGAACTCAAGGATAGGCTATAGTGAATTATTGCACATCATACTCGAAAGCACCAAGAGAAAGTAGAAGTCTAGGTGCCTGGTTTATTCTGCAGGATAACCATCTAAAAACAAAAAATGCAGTTTAAACTTTGTGAGGCACTCTATGTTAAATTATATTTTGTATCAAATTGCACTTAAATTATATTTTTTTTATCAGATTGCACTTCAGAAACAGTATTTTCACCAGTTTTTTTCTTAAATCTTCATATTCGAATGTAATTGAGTGAAGTTTTATGTTTAACATTATGTAATTGTGTACAACCATTATTAAAGTAGAATAGTTATTGCCAGAGGATACTAGCTCAGTTGGATTTTTCCATTTATAGAGCTTCCCGGTGTGGGTTTAGTACTACCTAAATGCAAATTAACGAAACAGAGAAGAAAAAGCTGGAATAATCCTTTTGTGTTTCAGAACTGAATAGGCTTTCATCCATGGTGCAGACTTCTATTGTCAATGTGGTGAGACCTTGCTGGATTAGTAAGCTTGAGCCATTTAATGGGATGTGGCACTTAAGTGAGAATGCAAAACCTCGTGGGCAGTTTGATGCAATTGTCATTGCTCATAATGGTGAGTTGATAGCTTTGTCTTTGTTATTATTAACTTTACCTATGGCTTGGTATTCCCCTATTATGTTAAGATTGGATGCTCTATAACAACAATACTATTACTCACTAATATGCTTATACTCTTGATTTTCCTTCGGAAAGGGACATCTGATTCTATCATCCTCTGCCATTATAAATATGACAGCGCTCTTGATCCTTTCATTGATTGAAATCTATTGATATCTTTTTCGAATTTTATACTTTACTTGACCTCTCTGCAATCTAGCAGAAAAATCTATAGGTAGAAACTAATCACTATGCTTTCTTATAATCATATGAAGTTCTCTTCAATGTTACGATATACTTAATTCTAGGAAGATCTTACTCCCAGCCAGTTGTGGATGATCGGATGACATTGTAGGACATTAGACAGAATGTTGCATGAGTTCAGTTTTATGACATGAGGAGGAAAGATGATTAGTTTCAAGTTGAGTATTCAATAAATACTCTGAAGTGTAGGGATAATACAATTTGTTTTTCTTGAATTTTGATGTTAAGATTGAATTCACGAATATAAACTTTTGTTATTACAAATATCTGACTGTTGTCTATAACTGTTACCCTTACTTGTTGAGATCTCAGATTCTCTTTAATATTAGGAGTAAGAAAGAGCATGATAACATTCTTATCATTGTTGTACAATTGTTTCCTTAAAACTGTACATAAAAATGACTGGCAAATACAAGCAAGCTTGATAAAGATTGTGGCTCTAGGCTTCAAAAAGGCTGCTGTTAACTATAAGCCAATTACTTAGGATGTTGATACTTTTATCTCTCTACTTATGCTGGCATCTAATCCTTTAGTATAGCATTTTATGGAGGTTGTTTTTTTTTTCTTTTTTAATCAAGAAGAAGAAACTATGGAGGTTGATTAGGTAATATGATTGCTCTAGGGGATGTCCTCACCAGAGTTGAGTCCAAAAGGTGTATAAAACCTACCATATGATTGAATACTCAGTTGTTGCTATTAATAATTGCTAACGGGGAATAAACTGATATGCTGCTTGCTATAATAAGTTAGTTGTGCAACAATGTATTTGTCTGCTCTCTTGTGTCTTGCTTTTGAATGTTACTGTAACGGGTTTTTGTGTTAACAGGAAAATGTGCAAATCGTTTACTTGCTTCTTCAGGATTACCACTAATTGCTAGACAAATGAAGGTAGTAGCCCTGAGTTCTCTAGTTTGTTAATAATATTAAATTTAATTTTTATAGTTAATAAAATATCTAGGTAAAATTTATTAATAAGAAATTATTTTAATCCCATACTTTTTTTAATATTAATGCATTAGTCAAAAGAAAACAGGGCCAAAACTCAAAATAAAATCTTTATGTATAAAAAGAAGGGATTCATTTGTTTTCGTATATTTTCATATATTTAAAACACTTAGAAAATTGAGAAATAGTAAAAGAAGATGAAAAGCAAGAAAAGAACTCTGATAAGCTAAAGAATTACTTATCTGTAGTTTAAAAAATTCTTATTGTTATTTTATTTCTGTACTTTTTAACTACTTCAGCTTTGCCTCTGTTTGATGTGCTGTGGCTTATACCTGAACTTATTTGCTTTTGGCATAACTTAATTGTGTGAACTGTTCATGTCATCTGTTTTATGTATCTAGAGATTGGAGTTGAACTCAATATGGGCTCTTCTAGCTGCATTTGAAGATCCCCTCCCCTTTGCTGGTGGCACAGTGACATTTCAAGGAGCCTTTGTTAAAGGAGTTGATTCTGTATCGTGGATGGGAAATAACTCAGCGAAACTTATGAATTCTCAGCATGATGGTCCACATTGCTGGACTTTCTTCAGTACTGCAGCTTATGGAAAGCAGAACAAGGTTCCACAGGTCAGTTCTGTAGAAGCATTTCTGGAGGAGTTTTTTTTTTTTCTCCATTGGGAGGTGATGGGAGTTGGCGTTGAGGGTAGTTGGTTTTCTCATCTATGTGTTTTTATCTGCACTAAATGTCTATCTGCGTGGATCACTAATTGAATTTGTTCAAGCTTGAACCCTGAACTTTTTATCTATTCGTAATTTAATACTATGTGGAAAAAAAAAGGGAATTTTCTTTGCTTTCTGCAGACTTCAAAGGTTTCCTTTATTTAGCCTCTGGGAGCGTATCTACTCGTGTTGCCTAGCTCGAGGGCAGGGTCCATCAAGCACCACAACTTTTTACTCAAATTAAGTAAATTATCGTATTTGAAAGACAAAATTCATTGATTTGTCTTTTAACATACACACACACAATCATTAGCGGAATAAGGTGGCAATCTGGTTGAGTTGGTGTTGTTCATCGGACTACTTTTAGCTGCTGGAAGTGGTTACATGACCAGTCTGTTTCATGTCACCGATACTCAAGCAACCACATTCATCTTGTTGTTTTCTAAAATTATTTTTATATTTACATCTATCATGAATTGAATTCCTTTTTTAATCTATTTTCATATGCCCCTTTGATTTTATAATTAGAACTTATTTTTAATTTAAACGCCAATAGATTATGCTAGTGCTAAAAGCACTTGTTTTAGCTGTAAATAGTAAACATCTGCATAACTTGAGGCTAAACAAATAGTACTAAAGTTTGTTTTTCTTTTATTTATTTTTTAAATGTGTATACTTTTATTGAAAGAATTAAGTTCAATGTTTCAATTTCAGAGCCTGATAATTCTTTTTGAAGTGCAGTTGTATAATTGCTGTATTGAGGTTTATTTGGGTTTTAAATTAGGCCGTGTAGTTGATGCAATTATGTCTTTCAGGAAAATATTCCAGCAGCCACAGCAGAGAAGGTGAAGACTGGCATGCTTGCTGGTGCTGAAGCTGCTCTTGGACTAGCAAAAGGCTCACTTCAGAAACCTTTTTATACTAGAGTCCAGCTATGGTAAGAAACTCTTGTTCATGTTGTCTGCTAATACTATGACTGTAATAGCAGTTTGTGACAGTACTCTGAAGTCAATTACTTGAGAGTTTCATCTTCCGTTGATTGGCATAATTAATTCTAGATTGGCATCGTTTTCACTTGTATAGGGTCCTAGATTACTTTTCTAATTTCTTTCTTTCACTTCTTTTCAGCACTGTTAAAACGCTTACTATCATTTTCTTTAAATCATTTACAGCAACTATTGTCTCTTTTGCATAATTCCAATGCAAGATGTTATGTTTCTGAAGAAATATTCTGGTTGATTGAAAAATTTAAGAAACTTCTCAAACTTGCAGTCTATAAGAGTGACGTCTCCGTCTCTTGGCTGTGTAGGGGTGCAGCTCTTCCAACTAATACTCCTCATACTCCTTGCATCTTTGATCCTCATGGACGGGCTGGTATATGCGGTGATTGGCTACTTGGTTCAAATATGGAATCGGCAGCCATAAGTGGGATGTCTCTTGCACATCATGTAAGTCTGGATGGATTATCAGGCGTGCGGGCGTGCATGTGTGTGTGTGTGTGTAAATATTCTGCATGAGCATATAGCTCCAAGGTGAAGTAGTAGGTTTTATGGGCCAAATATTGAACATTTCAACTGAGCTATAAAATTTCGGCTACATCTTTAGAACTTAAAGTTGGAAGTTCAAAAGGATTATAACCATGCATGAATTATGTTTTGGGTTCCCAATGCAGATTGCAGACTATTTCCAAAATGGGGGAGATAGTCCTGGGGAGTTTGCCATTGGTTTGCAAAATGAATTTTCGCCTGTCGATGGACATGATATTGGACAATTCTCTGGGTTAAATTCCACAGGACAAGCAAACAATATCAACTTGCCTGAAATGGTATCATCCTAAGAAGATTTATGAAATTTTGGTAAAAGTACATATCCTTACTCTCTTGACAAGTTTACTTTTAACCTTGCACTTGTGATTTATCCTCACCATTAGTTTTTCTATTAACTCTTATTAAGTAGCTGGAAGATCTTTAAAACATATGGTTGTGTCACAAACTGTCGGAAGGCAGGACACTGGGGTCGTGCCGTGACGTCTTCGATTATGAGGCACTGCAATATATGAAAGTTATAAAGTGGTGTCTATGCCTCAAGAGATTGTGAGTTATGAGAGTTGTTTCTCAGGGACATGATGAGAAAGCTATGGTTTAAGAGAGGTATCTGCAGAATGTGAATTACTTCTACATTTGTCTCTGACTCAAGCTGGATCAATGGAGGTCGAGACTAGTGCAGATCAATGCAAGGAGTAGGAGCAGATGATATGGAGGAGGGAAATCCAAATAAATATTTGTATCATTTTGTTTGGTCAATTTTTATCATGTTGTGTTCATATAACACAATATTACTTTATAAATACAATATTTTTTTACCTGTATCATACTGAATCAAATCAAAAGAATTATATCACTCTATTGGGTGAGGAACAGAATAGCAAAACATGGGTCGAAATACGTAGGATATATTTTTTAGTAATATATATATATATATATATGTATTGTTAACTATAAAATATTGTTAATTATACAAAATAATAGTTCAACCAAAAGTGGAGAAGAAAATATATTTGGTTTTCTAGAAATATTAAGATTTATTTTTTTAAAAAATATTTAGTAATATATATATATATATATATATATATATATATATATATATATATATATATCCTCTTCTCTTTTTCCAGTATTGCATTAATAAATGGGCCTGTGTTTGTCGGCCCATTGGTGATGACTTGTGAAGCCCACTGATAATAAAACCCGATCCGACATTGCAACCCAAATCCAATTAACGGTAACTGAGGGCAGAATGGGTAATTCGGTTCAAAATTTTAGTTTCCTCTACGAATCAAACGTAGGTTCTTCTCCTATGAGTACATACGTATACATATACATATACATATATATATATATATATATATATATATATATAACCGAAGATGGTCTCTGTTTCAGAAGATATACTCCATAGTTTCTGTTCTTCTTTCAAGAAGAGAGTCTCTCTGTTTCTTGCTCTCCCATTGCTCTATTTCCTTTCCTTGGTTCTGTTGTAAGACGAAGAGAGAGATTTACACCGAGTGTTCTCCGTGAAAAGCAAGCCTTCCAGTTTAGTGTTATTTGTTGCGTGGAATACAAGTTTCAAGGATGAACCAGACGGTGGAGGTTCTTGCAGACGCGAAGAAAGCAGCGGATCGTGCAAACATTAAGGGCATTCTTAAGGGTTCATGTGAGATATCCAGATGTGTAGATTGTTTTAAGCAGTTGGAGAGTTGTCCTTTCAACATACAACTTATCGATACTCATAACATCTTCAAGAAGCTTGAATATCTGAGTAAGCACAAGAGACGAAAGAGTTGGAGAGTTGTCCTTTCAACATACAACTTATCGATACTCATAACATCTTCAAGAAGCTTGAATATCTGAGTAAGCACAAGAGACGAAAGATATGTTCTGCGGCTTCTCGAGTTATCGACGTCTCGAAGAAGAGGATACTCATGAAAGATTTTTGTCCTGTAACGGCCCCGGAAAAATTTAATATTGGAAAGGCATATATATAGATAAATAATCTGAATTTGCGAAAGCGTATTAAATATTGCAATTAACATCCCTTACGCAATACCAAAACGTGTTCAACAAATGAGGGAATAAACTAATTAAAATAAATGCTCGAAAGTAAGAACTACAATTATAACTATGAGATCTTTAGGCGTTCCCTTCGGCGTCTTCCTGCGGAACGGGCTCGGGAACCACGTCTTCCTGATCTGAAATGGTTAAGTAAGGAGTGAGCTACACTAACCCAGTAAAAACATCACTCTACCTCACTGCCACAGGAGTAAAGGTGGGTAGAAAACAAAAACGACCAATGGAGCATAATTTGTAATAAACCCATTTGTTCATAAAAACATTTACTTTCCATTTACCTGGTTGAGATCCATAAAACAATACACAAGCAACACATTATCATCATCACGTTATCACATACACTTTATAATACAACATTTATCACGCGTTTGCATTTCAATCTTTAAACAGCATAATTTCTCTTTACAAGCCTACTAGTATCCATGGGGATCCATAGGGGTCCCGCTACCCGTGAACCCTTAACATTTATAACCTGATTCCAGGGTCGTCCCAATACCCCGTCCGGTATGGGCGCCAAAACCATTAACCTCAATACCCCGTCCGGTATGAGGGTGAAACGAGCCGTCCCCATATCCCGTCCGGTATGGACGCCAAAATACATAAGGTCTCCATACCCCGTCCCGTATGAGAGACCACGTTCCTGGTAGGATTCCCTACTGACCCGGTCCGTCCACCATCTCCAAGGATACCTAGTCAGGTTGTCCACATTATCCGTTTGCCAATTCACATAACCTTTTATCCCTTTTTCTTTAGTCACCATCATCAAGTCACACACAAACATGCAAACCAGTAGTTCATGCCAACAAGACAACACACAATATCGGGTTCTCAGTCATTCAGTCCATAATCAATGAAGCAGTGATACATGCACACAAAACTATGAAATAAAAATATCAGACATTATACTGCATTTAAAACTGTAAAATAGAACAAACAACAACTGACCGACAAATACACTAGACTCGGGCTCCATTAGCAACCTTAAACAATTTCACACAGCTATTGATTCATGAAATACTATTTTATCATTTATTGCACTTTAATACCGTGATAGAAAATAGGGTGAGGAATCCTTACTTGTTTTCGAGACCCGAAATAGGCTTTTCCGAACGCCTGCGGGTTATCCCTAAATTTCCTGAATCTTTTTCCGAAAAACTGAAACACGCTACCAGTACCTGCACGTGTCCCAAAAATCTCAGAATCAGACCTAGGGCCCCTTTCGGCCAATATCGCAATTCCGGCACGGTGGCTCCGTCGTGCTCCGGCGACGGCGCTACCGTTTGCGGCGGCGATTCGCCTCGAGTTGGCCGTTTTCGGCCACACTTGCATCGGTCCCTGCGATAAAACAACCCTAGGGCCATTGGGAGGCCAAAAAAATTACGAAAAACCGAAGCTTACCGGCGGCGGTGCTCTCGGGTGCGGTGGCTCTCCGGCGTGGTTCGTGTTTTAGTGATTTGGCTCCGATCAACCTGTAGAGAAAAGAATGGTGATCACGGTGATATAAAAATTGTATCAAACGGAGACCGGGGAGGGCCTCATCAGAGGCAAAAATCGAGGAGGGGCGCGGCGCCGCCGCTGGGTTTCGGCCGTTTGGCCTAGAGTTTGGCTCCGATTTGGCCACAGGGGAACTCAGCATTGAAAAACGAGCCGGGAGTATGAAATTTACCTCGATCGGCAGTCAATTTTTATCATGTTGTGTTCATATAACACAATATTACTTTATAAATACAATATTTTTTTACCTGTATTATACTGAATCAAATCAAAAGAATTATATCACTCTATTGGGTGAGGAACAGAATAGCAAAACATGGGTCGAAATACATAGGATATATTTTTTAATAATATATATATATATATATGTGTATTGTTAACTATAAAATATTGTTAATTATACAAAATAATAGTTCAACCAAAAGTGGAGAAGAAAATATATTTTTTAAAATTTTTAGGATTTGAATTATAAAAATTTATATATATTAAATATATTTGGTTTTCTAGAAATATTAAGATTTATTTTTTAAAAAAATATTTAGTAATATATATATATATATCCTCTGCTCTTTTTCCAGTATTGCATTAATAAATGGGCCTGTGTTCGTCGGCCCATTGGTGATGACTTGTGAAGCCCACTGATAATAAACCCGATCCGACATTGCAACCCAAATCCAATTAACGGTAACTGAGGGTAGAATGGGTAATTCGCTTAAAATTTTAGTTTCCTCCTATGAATACATACATATACATATACATATACATATACATATACATATATATATATATATAACCGAAGATGGTCTCTATTTCAGAAGATGTACTCCATAGTTTCTGTTCTTCTTTCAAGAAGAGAGTCTCTCTGTTTCTTGCTCTCCCATTGCTCTATTTCCTTTCCTTGGTTCTGTTGTAAGACGAAGAGAGAGATTTACACCGAGTGTTCTCCGTGAAAAGCAAGCCTTCCAGTTTAGTGTTATTTGTTGCGTGGAATACAAGTTTCAAGGATGAACCAGACGGTGGAGGTTCTTGCAGACGCGAAGAAAGCAGCGGATCGTGCAAACATTAAGGGCATTCTTAAGGGTTCATGTGTTGATTGTTTGAAGCAGTTGGAGAGTTGTCCTTCCGACATACAACTTATCGATAGTCATAACATCTTCAAGAAGCTTGAATTTCTGAGTAAGCACAAGAGCCGAAAGATCTGTTCTGCGGCTTCTCGAGTTTATCGACGTCTTGAAGAAGAGGATAATCACGAAAGATTCTTGTCCTGCTCCAAGAAACTCATGGTCAACGCATCGTCATATCATTCGGATCAAGCTGCCGCGGAAAGTTCCTGCGAAACCCTCCTCTGAGACTGTCTCAAAGTTGGCATCCGGAGCTCCTCCTCAACCGCTCATCTCTGAAAACAGAACACTCTGATGATGCTTCAACCAAAGGGACTACCATTTGCCTGAAGATTCCATTGGAGACTCCTCACCGACCTGCCTCTCAAAATGTAAAAGATGCACCCAGAGGCAAAATAAGAACCATGCTTGAAGAGGCCCTGTCTAAGGTAGCATCTGAGATTGGGGAGAAAGTGCATGGATCTCTACGTGATTACATCAAGGTTGCTGCAGAGGTGGAGTATGAGATGTTCAGAAAGCTGGGTCCTCGCGTTGGGAATCAAAAGCTCAAGTATAGGGCCATTCTGTTCAACCTCAGCGATCCAAAGAATCCAGACTTGAGGAGAAGAGTTGTCTGTAGAAAAATAAAGCCTGCTGATCTCCTTGACATGAAAAGTGAAGAGTTAGCCAGCAATGAACTTAAGCATGAGATCATCAGATAAGAGAAAGGGCTGAACAGGCTCTGCTGCAGCAATTAGCTCAGAACAATGCTGTATGCTGATGTGTATTACTTTCTTGATTTTGAAATTGATTTGTAACATAAGTGAACATTGTTCTTCTTCAATGAAACGAGATGAAATTTGACTGATTTGAAATTTGAAATTGTTCCCTCTTATGTTTCTTTCCTTCATGGACTGTATTTATAGATGATAAAGTTTTTAAAGGTTGGAGTTAAGAAGTTCCTTATGGAACGGTCGGAGTCTTGGCTAGCGTGGTATGCTTTGGTCTTTAGCATTTCATGTTTGTAGTAGCACCAGACGTGTCATTGCTCATAATGATGAATTAATAATAGCTTTATCTTTCTTTTCATTAACTTTAACCATGACCTTGTATTCGCTTTGAAAATTGAGAAATGGTAAAAGAAGATGAAGATCAAGAAAATAACTCTGATAAGCTAAAGAATTTAAAAAATTCATACTATTATTTTCTTGCCCTCATTCTTATTATACTTGAACTTATTTGCTTTTGCCGTAACTTAATTATGTGAATTGTTCATGTCATCTGTTTTAAAATCCGCACCCACAAGCGCAATTAGGTTGCTCATGAGGCTAGTCAAGTTGGCAATGTTCGTCGGACAAGGTGGCCGTTATTTAGATACTAGGTTGAAAAGAATGCTGACTCGCGTCCCTTTTAACTTGTGCAGAGTCCTAGATCACTCTTCTAATTTGCATCTTTATATTCTTTTCAGCACTGTTAAAACCCCTGTGGTCTTTTCTTTAAATCATTTAGAGCAACTAGTGCCTCTTATGTGTAATTCCAATACAAGATATTATGTTTCTGAAAAAATTGTAAAGGTCCGGAACTTAAATGGAAATAAAGTCATAAATTAAATACGGAAGCGAAGTAATAGAGTTAGGGTTTACATTACTCACACAATACTTTCAAATGCCTAATAGGAATATGAAAATACCCATTCTAAAAGAACAAACAAAAAATAAATAAATAAAAAAGTCAAATAACTAAGCAATCCTAAAACGATTTTTACTATCTCTTGAAGGGAGTCCGGATGGTGAACTATTCACAACTCTTTTTTTGATCGAAATTTGAATCTTGGTCCTTTTAATCTAAAATAGTTAATGAAGGGATGAGCTACACTAATCTAGTAAGAATATCACACTAATCACATATACGAAAAACTGAAGATTTGTAAAAATAAAAAAAAACTACCAATGGAACCCTTAATTTAATGTAAACTCATTTATTATAAAGAAAGTT